ACATCGTCTGTGGAAAACCACACATTACAACCACGAATATCCTAGTGGTGAAAGCCACCTTCAATATTGAAGAAAGGTTCAGTGTTTTAAAAAGAGAACAGCAAAAGGAAAAGCCGTTTGGAAAATACTATAGACGTAAAAGTCAACAATACACCATGAGTTCTAGTCATTATGGCTCCCAAGGCAGAGGCCATTGGCAAGAGGCTTCTGAAGAAGAAGTCTTTCGAGCAAATGTCACCATACGTCGACCATACCATCAGTATTGAACGGGCAGTACTACTATGAGTCTAGCAAGAAAAGTGGAGAAAATGGCGACTAACATGAGAAACATGGCCCAGTAGAAAGCCATAATGCAACAATTGCTTATACAAATACATGAACAAGGAGAATATCGAGCCCCTTAGTAAGGGGCTCCCCATCAAGAAGACGATACGGGCTTATCCTCGTGAGCAAGCGATGGGAGTTAAAAGTGGGCGTGGATATAACCTCAAGTTATATCCCAACTAGAACTAAAGGTAACCTACCTAGGGAGAAAGGAAATTTCGCCCAGAATATGCGCAAGAGTCGGAGCCACAAAGGTCCGTTAGTGTTTTTGATAGAATCAAACCCTCAAGACCTAGAAATAGGCCCTAACAATCATATCCCACTCTGAGATAGCAAGAATATGGCCAAGGACAGGAGCATCAAGAGGTCTGACAGCATAGAAATAGGTGAGGAAGAATGGACGCTCTGTGAAACCAGGTGGGAACGTCTCAATCACCCTGGCATGAAGCTAAAGAGGAGGATTCAAATAGTCTTTGCAGATCCTTTGAACAAGATGATGATGATAAAAGTCTCCTATTTTTACTAAAATTAAGGAATGTACATGTTTCGAGCCACTTGTGCCAACAAAGATACCAAAGTACGAAGGGAACGGAGGCCCGACAAAGTACCTTAACGACTGCATGACTCATATGTCTCTAAGGAGAACCTCACCAGCACTGAAGTGTAGAGCTTTCCACCTGACCCTATCAAGGACTGCTGAATTTGGTATAATCATCCTCCAGTCGGAAGCATCAAAAGTTGGCCTGACCTTAAGAAATCATTCTTAAATCAATACGTAGTAAGGAGGGAGAGGCCTCCATCCAAAGATTACAGGACATGAGACAGCAGGTAGGTAAAACTTTGAAGAGCTATTTGGCTAAGTTCATAGGTGAAATAAACTATTTTGAACAATTAACGGACAGGGAGTCCTTATTAGCCTTAAAGGGAGGCCTCAATATGAACATTCTTTTTTGGAGAGATGCGCGGAATCAAAAACCAACCACCTGTGGTGCCTTGGTGGAAATGATAAGAAGCGAGATAGTCAATGAAGAATTGATTAATCATCGAAATCGGACTTCCTTAGGACTTTCACCCCCCACAAAGATAGAGACAAGGCCACATATTACACTTGGTAACCCAACAATGGACCTAAGTCGGACAGACAATCATCCCTACTTCAGGTCAAGGTTTGGCCACTGCCATCCTGAACGAAGTACCATCTTTAGCTTATGAAAAGGTTAGCCCCTAAACACAGCTCAGATGGATCAACCCAGGGACAGAGACAGGGGAAGGAACAATGAGCCTAGAAATAGGACATATTGTACTTATCACAGAACTTATAGTCATAGCACCAATGATTGTATGTTGAGGCCTCGCCAACTAGAACCAATGGAACAAAATAATGATAGAATAAATGCACGTGAGAATTGAAGGGGTACACCCTAAAGGAGTCAAGAGCAGGAGCCTCGACATGAGAAAATAAGATGTATGCAAAGAAACCAGTCTCTTGGGCAACAAAATGATGAGAATTTGGAAAGATCCAGAGACACTTCAAGGAAAAGGAGTGAACCCTATGTTGATATAGAAAATGACCCCATCAAGAAATCGATATTATAACTGGGGGCCCTCATGTTGGAGGGAAATCCAGAAATACCCAAAAGAACAATGCTAGAGAAGCCAATGACCCCTCCCCATGATGAACTATTTGGTTAATAGCACTCCCCGTAGAACCCACGCCACTCCGTCAATTACATTTACACATGAAGTACCATTAGTGTACATTACCCACATTGCAACAATCTGGTGGTAAGAGCC